AGTTCGAGCTTCGACGTGTGTGACTTTTCATGCGGGGAAAGAATCTCGTCTCGATCTCCGTCATTTTCACTTGTCACAGATTCCTACTGACCGTCTTCGAAGAACACGAAGAAAGCGGTGGGCATCGCGCGCGTTTTCCTCGTTCGTACGCTCGATACCCTAATCGATTTACCCTAATCGGCCGGGACAGAAGAAGAAGACGCGCGAATGGAGACAAGCTATCGCGACAATACTCACCCGCGTGACGATGACCATCTCTCAGTTGGTCGGCACTCCGCCTGAAAGAAAACAAAACTTTCTTCTTTCTTTCTTTCTTTCTTTTTCGTTCTATCCTTGCTTTTACCTTCGTTTTCTCTTTCCTTTTCTGTTTTCTTCTGCTTTACACGCAAAGCAGTAAAATGAGAAGGGGAACATCTCGAGCAGGAGATAACATTGTTGATAATAGGACAAACGAAGAATGTGAAATTCCAGAGAGAGAGAGAGAGAGAGAGAGAGAATGGCTGAGTCGCTGCTGCGAGGCAATCGGAGTCTACGTTGGTGATCGAATCGAATTCTCTTACGCGAATATCTATTTGGAGAAGAATCATTCCAGCATGCGATGATGGTGTCCGGCTGATCACCGTTACAGTGGAAGCAGCACAAGCGTAAACCTGTTCGCAAAAGTGGGTTAGACAGTTTCTGCTGCTACTACTCAGCCGTACACCTTTCGAGAATATCCATCGAGGAATCTTGCCACGGGAGATTGATCTCCCTTCTCTTCAACGCGCATTCTCTGTCGAATTGAGACTCTACAATTTGCCAAAGCAAAAACCGATTGTGCGAGAATCGAATTGCATTGGACACCGAGGAAGGTTATATATCGAACTGAATCTGCAAAGGAAGCACGAGGCAAGCACGATTGAAACGCAACGAAGAATTACAGTTTACGCGTCATTAGCGTCGATTTCGTTCGTCAAAGGACACGGATGAATTTGCTTCTATTATACTCGCACGAATAACTCCCGGGTCGACGAACCTCTCGGCATTCGTTACTTTTCCATTCGTTTCTTTCATCTTCCCTCTTCTCTTGTTACAACGAATCTAATTTGTTTTAAAGATCGAAGAGATCGTCCAAATGTTTTTCCTTTTTCTTTTTTTTTCTGAGACAACACCGCGTTGAATGTACAGGAAGGTGAAGTGTACCGCGACACTTCGACAGAGAAGTTTTACGAAAATTTTACGAAAAAACGGCATCTAGCCCTTGAACTTGAGAGGCTGAAGATCATTGACTTTGCACAGGACAAACGAAGTATAGGGATTTTAACACGCGTTTGTGCGTCGTCGCGATTCGATTGAGAAATCAGAGAAGGAAGGCTGAAACTTGAAAGAATATAAAAATTAAACGACTGTGCTTGTTCGACATTAACTCGAATTTTCGAACAACGCGACATTGAAATCCTACCTTCACATCTTTTTGCTCGCGTCAAGTTCAAACCTTTACTTTCCTTACGTCACGATTATTATTTTCCACGTGTGTATCCTCGCTCGGCTCTGACTTTTTCCTTTCCGCGCTGCGCCGATCTCCTTCGGTCTTTTCAGCTTTGTGCGACATC